ATCTACGTTCCTGTTTCCATTGTTTTAATTACAATAGCTTTGTAATAAGGTTTGAAATCAGGAAGCATGAAGCCTCCAGCTTTGTTCTTATTTCTCAAACCTGCTTTGGCTATTGGGAATCTTTTTGGATCCACATAAAGTTTAGGATTGCTTGTTCTCTTTCTGTGAAAAATGCTATTGGAATTTTAATAGGGATTGCATTAAATCTGTATATTGCTCTGGGTAGCATGGACTTTTTAACAATATTAATTCTTCTAATCCTTGAGCATGGAATATCTTTCCATTTATTTGTGTCTTCTTCAATTACTTTCATGAATATCTCATAGTTTTCAATATACAGGTTTTCACCTTCTTGGTTAAATTTATTCCTAGGTGTTTTATTCTTTTTGATTCAACTGTATATGGGATGACTGTTTTCTTAATTTTTCTTCCTGACAGTTCTTTATTAGTGTATATGTTTACTTAAAAATATTGTTATGAACTCATGGATTTAAAGATATTTGCTATTCATTGCTATTAGTAATAGTATTGAAGGTCAAGCTGTCCTGTTCGTTTGGCCAGTGGAAGCCTCTTCATGTTTGCTCCTGGGCCCCCCTGATCCGACCCTAGGGGTCCTTGATAGCTTCTTTAACATCTGGTGTGTCAACTATTCTGGGCTCATCTTGTACATATCCTGCTATAGACCTGGAATCAACCATATCTCTAAGAAGTTCTGGCTTCAGTGAATGGGAAATGATATTTCAAGGCCACAGTCTGGGCACTAGGACTGTTCATGCTTTTGGGTAGGTCTCTGTTTCTAGGCTTTTCATTGGCCAGAGCTGGAATGAATTCATATTGATGCTTCCAATTAAGTACTATAGGCTTTTCTGCTTATCCTCTTCCAGATTACATCTGTGTTTCCTTTTCCTCCTCACCAAGTCCTAGTTCTCAAGGACAGAGGCGGATGACAGAATTAAAATATCTCACTGTTACTCAGTTGCTTTAACTTAACAGTTTCAGAATAATGATGGTAATACTACCACTATCAATTATGGTTACTGAAAAGTTACACTTTTTTTTGCACAGGTGCTCCCCATTCTCCTCTCATTTCTATTTTTTTATTTGATTTTATTTTTTTTAAAAGGTGTAATTTTATTTATTTTTGGCTGTGTTGGGTCTTCGTTGCTGCGCACGGGCTTTCTCTAGTTGCAGCAAGCAGGGGCTGCTCTTCGCTGAGATGTGTGGGCTTCTCCTTGCTGTGGCTTCTCTTGTTGCGGAACACAGGCTCTAGGCACGCAGGCTCAGTAGTTGTGGCTGGAGGGCTCTAGAGCACAGGTTCAGTAGTTGTGGTGCACGGGCTTAGTTGCTCCATGGCATGTGGGATCTTCCCAGACCAGAGATCGAACCCATGTCCCCTGCATTGGCGGGCGGATTCTTATCCACTGCGCCACCAGGGAAGTCCCTCCTCTCACTTTTAAATGGTTCTATTATATCTATATTATCAGAACATATAGCTGTTATATACTATTTTCTCTCCCACTTAACTGTCACTTAGTTTTAACACTACAAGTAAATATGTATCTGATGCTGACTATCAGCCCTGTTGCTGATGCCTCTCTGGTTATTTTGGTTGTTGGAGATTCTTTTTCTAACAGATTCTTCAGAAAGTGCTCATAGGAACAATATTTCCCTGAGTTCTTGCCTGTTGGCAACATGTCATGTGTACCTTTTATATTTGACCATCACTTTTGCTAGATATAAAATCTTTGCCTCAATTTTCTTTCTGGGAGTATTTTTATATGATACACACCTTTTTTTTTCTGACATAAACGGTTGCTATTGAAAGTCTGATGATAATTGAAGTTTTTTCCCTTAGAAGTCACTTGATTTTTTTTTTTTTTTTTTTTTGCCTAGAAGCTCAAAGAATTCTTTTTTTCATTAAAATCCAATAACTTTATTAAAGTGTGTCTTGATGTTGGTTATTCTGGGTTGATGTACTCAGGTTCTCAGTGTGTTTTTTTAAATATATAGTTTCATATCATTTGTCTTCAAGAGAAATTTTTGAATTCTAGTTTGAGACACTTGCTTCTATTTCTGGTTTTAGCTGTTATGGATACTTTCATATTTTTAGCAACATAGGCAATATCTTATGTTGCTATTTCTTTGTTAATTGAAGTACTATCTTAGTCATCTAAATATCTATTGACATCCTATTATTTTAGATGAGACTTTATCTTAATTTATCTCCTTCCCCCTCTGCTCCCGTTTTTAACAACCACATCAGTATTTTCAGTTCCTATGAAGTTACCTTTGTAACTTTACACAATAAACTGGAATCTTCACCTCTTGTTTCAACAACTCTTGACAGTTCTGATTCCCCACTTTACAATATGGGGATATTATGCTGTTTACCCCTCTCTCTTCCCCTTCCCACAAGCCAACTTTTCTTAGCTGTACCTTTACTTTCGTAGTTTCATACTTGATAACCTTTGTATTATATTTAGGATTTATATTTAGGTCTTCAATACTCTGTCTATTGGATTATTCTAAAAAACTGAAGATCAATAAAAAGCATTTACATTTTTTATTACCGTATAAAATACCATCTATTGTACAGTCACATGGCGTGTTGTGATTGCAATTTTAATGCAGAATTCTGGTGCTACTAGAGAAACCTGATCATGGTATCAAAGGTCAAATGGTCTTTTTTACCTTCTATCACTCAAAAATCGTACCAAATTTTAATTTAAATCATAACCGAGCCTTAACTTTTGTGCAGTCTTTTTTTGTTTTCCCTGGTATTTGATTCTACTTCTATTTTTTCATTAATGATTATGAACTCTTTTTGTTTCCCTAACCCATACCCCTGATACTTTATAGCATCTTAGTCACTGCATCTATTTGTTGGAATCATTTCAATTCTTCTGTGTACTTTCTTCTTGCACATCACTGACTCTTTGCACTCATTTCATCCAACTGCTTTTTCATATGGGGATTCTTAAAAACTGGGGCTTGTTTCTTGCATTCCACATCACCTGTGTTCTTGCAATTTTGAACGCTTCTTTCAGTGGAATACCTGCTGGAGTACTTTTTCTGAAGGAGTAAAAGTAGAAAGTATATAACTTGAATCTTTGTCTACCTTACATAGATATCCTATCCTCATGTTCAAAATAGCTGGACTGGGTGAAAAAAAATCCAGGTTCCAAATCCTCTCAGAACTATGAAGGCCTTGTTTCAGTGCCTTCTAGGTTTTGGTATTATTAACGGAAAGTCTGGTGCCAACCTGATGTTCATCCCTTTGTAGGAAACCTGCTCTTTTCTTAAAAAATATCTTCAGGAGCTTCTCATTATTCTTGATATTCTGAAAACTATTTATTAATATCCAAACTTATGTATAATATCAGCTTAGTGCATTGTGTATAATTGGGCAATTAGACATGACATTTATATATTTTTTTAAAAAAAGAAATGGAAATTTTTATTCAAGCCAAATCTGAGGATTATAACCCAGGAAAAGCATATCAGAAAGCTTTGAGAACTGTTTCCAACATTTTTTTCTTTCTTTTTTTTTTTTTTGTGCTACGCGGGCCTCTCACTGTTGTGGCCTCTCCCGTTGTGGAGCACAGGCTCCGGACGCGCAGGCTCAGCGGCCATGGCTCACGGGCCCAGCCGCTCCGCGGCATGTGGGATCTTCCCGGACCGGGGCATGAACCCATGTCCTTTGCATCGGCAGGCGGACTCTCAACCATTGCGCCACCAGGGAAGCCCCAGTTTCCAACATATTTTTAAGAAACAAAGTGCCTTCTGTATGTCAGAACCCTGATGCCCAGGATAACATATATGGTCTTTTCTTTATCCTCATAGCAATCCCATGAGCTCAGTATAATATTGCCATCACAGTAGGTTATCTGAAGATTAGAATCTCTCCTTAAGATAACCTAGTCATTAACAGTAGTAAACAGCAGAGCTGGGATTTGGTCTCAGTACAATTTTCAATCCCCTAAATCCTTTTCAAACACTTTCATAGCTTCATATTCTCTCATAAACCCCACAGAATGAAAACATTGCCAATTAAAATGATATCAGACAGCAACCTAAGTGTCCATTGACAGACGAATGGATAGAGAAGATGTGGTGTATATACACAATGGAATATTATTTAGCCATAAAAAAGGAATGAAATAATGCCATTTACAGCAACATGGATGGACCTAGAGATTATCATACTAAGTGAAGTAAGTCAGAGAGAGACAAATATCATATGATATCGCTTATATGTGGAATCTAAAGAAAGGATACAAATGAACTTATTTACAAAACAGAAATAGACTCACAGACATAGAAAACAAACTTGTTGCCACAAAAGGGGAAGAGGGGGAGGGATAAATTAAGAGTTTGGGATTAACAGGCACAAACTACTATATATAAAATAGATAACCAACAAGGACCTCCTGTATAGCACAGGAAACTCTACTCAATATGTCCTGTGATAAACCATAATAGAAAAGAAAATAAAAAAAAAAATATATATATATATATAAAACTGAATCACTTTGCTGTACACCCGAAACTAACACAACCTTGTAAATCAACTATATTTCAGTAAAAGTTTTTTAAAAAGTAAAACAAAACGATATCAGACAATTTCAGAGTTATAAGGGCATCTATAGAAATAGAGCTCAGGTGTCCGCTATAGTGGCGGGTGGCTGGTCCAGGGATGCATGGCTAGTTAGGGTGGACTCCAAGCCTGTAAGCCAGTCATGCTGCAGGTCAGGCTCTGGCGTTAGACCACGTGGATTCAGGAGCCAGACCCATGCCTTGCAGCTCAGATCCTATCTCTTAATCTTGAAGCTTCAGGTTCTCCTGTAAGAAAAGGATTGCCATGGCGTCTCCTTCCTGGGGTTGTTCAGAGTCATGGATGAAATAAACCACAGCAAGTGCTTAGCTCAGCCAGGCAGGGAGTCAGAGCTCGAGGGTGTCACTTGTCACTATACCGTGCTTACCAACCAAGTCACACATACCTTCAGGCCAGGGTTTTTCCTCATCCGCAGCCTTCCCATCCACATGTCAGTCAACAGCATCTGGCTGCAGGTGTGGGCGATGAAGTCCCGATGTTTGGCTGCGACAGCCAGTTTGAGGCAGGTCGAGTTGCTCCAGTTTTTCAGCTCGTAGGTCAGCAGTTTCATGGCGATCTGCTCGTCATGCTTGTAGGACTGGTCCAAGAGCTCCACAGCAAGCTGGCCAAAGTCTCTGCAGAGACAGAAATGGGAGCAGGGTGGTCACATGCTCTTCATTAGAGAGCTGTGTCCACGGGGATGTCATGGAGCCACAGGACACAGAGTCTTTGACTTCCTGTCCTCTGGGAGCTCCAGGGGATGTCCCCAGAGGGGACAGCCAGGGGCCAGGGGCCGTGCTTAGCCATGTCAGGGGCTGACTGCTCTTGCTGTAGATGGAGCTTTAGGTGGATCCCAAGTCTGCCCCTCAGGCCCCAGGGACAGAGCAAAGACAAAGTCCCTTCCCTCAGGCATTCACGGAACAGGGATGCAGATGGAAAAGATGGCAAATGAGATTTTGAAAACAGCGCCTGTGGGACTGGAAGTCAGAACAGTGGCCATCCTTGGTGCAGGGGAAAGGTGGACATTGAAAAGGCCTCCAGGAGGGCTGGTGGCACAGGTAGGGTCCTGTTTCTTGAGGGTGCTGGTCAAAGTTGTGTGTTGGGCTTGTGAACAGTTATCAAGCTGCATGTTTTGCACACGTGTCTTCTCCCGTATGAGTGTAATACTTCAGTGACACATGGATTACAAGAGCGCTCTCAGTGCTGTGAAGGAGACAAGGTCTAGTTGCCATGGGGACCCAGAGCAGGGAGGACCAATTGCTGGAGGTGGGGGAGGGGGAGTGATGGGAACCAAGTGGCGGATGGAGAAGGGGACACAGGTGATTTGTGAACATAAGATGTATTCCCTTTCCACATGACCCTGATGCGAGGATTTAATGATAGTCATGAACATTTCTTGTTCCTTCAACTTTTTGTGTGGCATCGATGTGATTAAGGTACAGTCCTATAGGGATCACCTTTCTTTGCTTTTGTTTCTCCATTTTATAGAAGGTTTGTTCTGAGTGGAAGGATGAAAAAGAGAGGCATTACTTGTGGGGGATGGAGACGCAGACTCTGCAGTACCTTCTGGCCTCAGGCCCCATGGGCTGCAGGGGGTCACCACGAGGGTCCTCTAGGAAGTAGAGGGACAGGGCTTGCCAACAGATGGAGGCAGGGGAACGCCTCCCTATTTCTAAGAGTCTTGAACACCTGATGTTTAGAAGTCAGCTAGTGATTTTAGAAATCCAGTCCGGAAGATAAGCAGGGTGCTTCACAAAACAACGATAGTACATGTTGGCAGAGGGGCCTGTGTACAATTCAAGTTCACATGTCTGTAAAGTTGCACAGGGACTTCCGGTTTCTGGTTCCACACGTAAGGGACTTGGAAGTTGCCACTCTGTCCTAATAAAAAGTACAAAAGCTCAACAAACTCAAAATCCACGACTTTTCTAGATTCATCAGAGAATTGAGGTCACAGGGCAAATTGCTGTCCACCAAACTGGAAAGACAGAAGGCAGATACTGAGAATCACAACTTAATGGAGCACAAAGCTGGCAAACCAGTGCCAGGTTGGAAAACCTGAACTGTAATTGATGAATTTCTGGAGGCCCTGTGAGGACAAGTCTGCAAGTTAATAGCTCCGGGTGGCCCAAGCTTAGAGAAGTGTCCACATTTTTGTGGAGCCCCACCAAGTTCTCACAGAGAAGATGGGGGAAGAATCCTCTCATGCTGCCATCTGGGAGAGGGGAAAGGGTCCATTCTGAACTATGCCCAGAGCACTCTGTTCTTCATAACAAGGCCTGCCCTCGGGGGAAACTGGCTAACCAGAGCTTAACCTATCGGTGTTTTATCAGAGCCTAACTGAACTAGAGGGAGGGAAATACCCAACTCCAGCCTCCTGTAGCCGTCCTAAGGGGGAGGAAATCCAGAGGTACTTGTGAAGGTCAAGTCCAAGGGCACAGGTTCACTAAGGTTGTTTCCTTATGAAAATTGGTCTCATTGTCTTTGCACTAAAATTGTGTTTCCCAGAAACAGAATCATGGACATAGAAAACAGACTGCTGGTTGCCAAGGGGGAGGGAGGTTGGGGTAAGCTTTCATATATAGAATGGATAAACAAGGTCCTACTGCAGAGCACAGGGAACTATATTCAATATCCTGTGATAAACCATAATGGAAAAGAATATTAAAAAAATGTGTGTATATATATATATATGTATATGTATATATATATGTATATGTATAACTGAGTCACTTTGCTGTACAGCAGACATTACCACAACATTGTAAATCAACCATATTTCGACAAAAAACATATATTGATTAAAATTGGGTTTCCATAGTTTGCACCAGAAGGCAGTCAACAAAAACAATGAGAGTCCAGAAACGCCTCAGAGAGACAGAAGGAAAAGTGCTGACACAATGGACAAAGCACTTGATGAACAAGCTTTAAAGGTAATTGTACTTAAGTGAGAGATACATTTGCCACCCTTCCCAGCAAAGGGACAGTGCTCAGGACCATAGTGTCTCCTGGTCCTTAAATTCCCTCTGGACACTCACTTTGAGTTGTTGTCCAGGTCCTGGGAGATGTCGTCCACCAGTTCGCTCTCGGAGGACTCGTGGGCCATCGACTTGTAGAGCTTGCAGGCCACCAGGGCCTTCGCCATGCTCTCTTCCCCCCGCTGCCAGAGGAAGACTGCCATTTTTTGGCGCTTCATCAGCACGGCCCACACCATCAGCTCGTGGAAGGGGTACTGGAATCGACTCACGGCGGGGTCGTCCACATCGATGTCCAACTCCTCCTCCTTTTTCTTCTTCTTTTTCTTCCCTTTGGCTGGAGGCTCATCATCCTGCGGGGAGAGAAGCACCTTTGCCATGGTTCTGCCATAAACATGCAACAGAGTGTTTCAGGACAACTGGAAAAAGGGAAACCTCTCCCCCCAAGGGAATAAAGAGAATTCTAAGTACATCTGTGGTTTCCAAGTAATTCTTTTGAAAAGATGCACATGTTTATTATGAGAAGTAAACCATCGAAAACCAAATGAGCTGAAAAGGCATACTACTGTTTGAAGAGTTTATACCCCTGGGTTGGCAGGGGTTTTTTTTCCCCCAGAAGCCTCTAAAAATTGAAGAGATGCTGCAAAACTAAAACACAGAAAACACTTCAATCCAAATCACCCCATGGGAGAGATATAGCTTATTTCCTCAGGGGAGTCTTCAAGTACCAACACTCGTTTGCCAGATACCGCTGAACCGGAGATTAATAGGAAAAATGTAAAAGGGGATGGAGAAAAATGTCTCGTTTCCCTACTAATGGTTTAAGGAAGCAAGCGTTCCATTTTTTTAAATTATAATTAATTAATTAATTTATTTTTGGCTGTGTTGGGTCTTTGTTGCTGCGTGCTTTCTCTAGTTGCCGTGAGCGGGGGCTACTCTTTGTTGTGGTGAGCAGGCTTTTCATTGCGCTGGTTTCTCTTGCTGCGGAGCAGGGGCTCTAGGCCCGCAGGCTTCAGTAGTTGTGGTGCCCGGGCTTAGTTGTTCCACGGCATGTGGGATCTTCCTGGCCCAGGGCTCGAACCCGTGTCCCCTGCATTGGCAGGCAGATTCTTTTTTTTTTTTTTTAATATATAAAGTAATAGCTTTATTTTGAACTTTGTTATGTTTCAGACATTTCTCTAGTCATTTTAGATTTATTTCAATAAACATTTTCCTATATCTTGTAAACCGCATTTTAAAATCAGAAATAATTTTGCAAATCTCCATATACAATGATACCAAACAAAAAACAAAAAAATCAAGTTTTATTAGCAATTCTAAGTAAGAGCTGGCACAGTTAACATAAGCATTAGAAGGTAAACATCCCTTGAATAAAAAAATAGGAAATATTTTAATGAAAAAAGTCAAGGATTGAAGGAAGGAGAAAATTTTTCAAACAGCAGCTGGCACTTTCTTCACAATCTGAATCACTTGTGTAAATACATCATTAAATACTCACATGATATTTACAAGGTAGAGATAAGAGAAAAAAACCTTCTAAGTATCAGGGCCCTTCATCTGTTATCCCCCTTCCATCTTCTGGATCCATTACTTTACATTCCAACTAAAACTGTGATTCTAGTTAACTACCGTTGAAAGCTTATCAATTAAGTCATCAATAGTGTAAACCAGCAGTTGAATGTCCGCTTTTTCCTTCATTCGGTGACCACTGTTCTTTCGGAGGAAGACATCTACATCTGTGCTGACTACTCGGTCAGCAACCTGCATGGACGTATGCCATGGTACAATGTCATCCTTCATACTGTGAAGCAATCTTATAGGGCAGTTCACAGGAATAGGACTATGTAACAAGCAGTGGTGCTCTGCTTCTTTAATGACACTGTACTGAATGCGATAAACTCCTTCACTGTATTTTGATGGCATATGGACCACACACCTTTCATCTCTATTTCCTTTTTTGCCTCAACAGGAAGCTGATTAAACTGTGTCACTAGGCCATCCACAGCTGTCGCTACGCCAATAAGAGCAACAACCTTTTGTGGCCGTGCGATTGCAGCATGAAGCAGAAGCCATCCACCGAGGCTAGATCCAACTAGTATCTGTGGTCCTTCAGCTAAGTCATCAATTATAGAAAGAACATCTTTTCTCCATTTTCCCACTGTGCATTCTTCTAAGTTACCATCTGAATTTCCAACTCCTGAGTAATCAAACCTTATATAGGCGTGACCTAGAGATTTGCAAAACTCCTCAATCGCCAATGCTTTTGTACCATTCATATTAATATAGCCAGGGAAGAAGATATTTCCTGGACTTTTGCCTTTTAGCCTCTTATAAGCCAGGTTTGGAAGGTCTGGTCGACTAAGGAAAGAGATTGATGTCTTTTGTCTGCAAGCTGGGAGCCACCGTGGCGTCGACTCGGCGTTCGGTGCAAGTAACGTGCTGTGTCCATGGTGGAAGCCGAAGGAAATGGCCATCCAGCCCCACCTACGACAAGGTACCCCAGCAGGCGGATTCTTAACCACTGCGCCACCAGGGAGGTCCCACAAGTGCTCCATTTTGAATGAGCTTTGTCTTTTCATGGATGTGCTATAAATGGAGGGTCTCCCATGACTGGGAGAATTGGGGTTGAAACACAATCAACATTTCCCATTTCCTAAAGGGATTATGAGGGATGATTCTGAAAACGGAGGACACTAAAGGAATGTCTGTCATGACTGGGAGAATTGGGGTTGAAACACGGGAGTGTCATGGAAATATATGGGGCTCAGACTATTCCAGGCTAGGGCTTCAGTACCCAGTAGAATAACAGAAATGGGTATTTGCTCTTTTGCAAACAGCTTTCTTGTCAATGATCCACTTTTATTCTTATACTGACTCTGAGAGGTTGTGAATGTCTTCCGTTCCATCAGATGAGGAGGTTGTGACCCAAAGTCTGAATAATTTGCCCACATACACACAGCTGGAGTGGCTGGGCAGGGTGGGGGTGAGAGACTGGCTCTCCAATTCCTATCACATGTTGTTCATGACTAACCCAAGTTTTATAACCTTATAATGAGTTGTCCGACATTTTAATTGAAACTATTGTATCTTGCCTTAGATTGAAATATTTTTGTTCAGGGACTTTCCTGGTGGCACATTAGTTAAGAATCTGCCTGCCAATGCAGGGGACACGGGTTCGATCCCTGGGCCAGGAAGATCCCACGTGCCACGGAGCCACAACTCCGTGTGCCACAACTACTGAAGCCCATGCACCTAGAGCCCATGCTCCACAGCAAGAGAAGCCACCGCAATGAGAAGCCTGCACACCGCAACGAAGAGCAGGCCCTGCTCGCCTCAACTAGAGAAAGCCCGTGCCCAGCAACGAACACCCAATACAGCCAAAAATAAACAAATAAATAAATAAATTTAAAAAGTGTTTTTGTTCAAATTTTCTAATTTGTCCCAGTAAAACTACAGTTTCAGTCATTTAGGAAGGTTGGTCTACATAGGTTAAAAATTGACATTATGGAAATTAAAAAATAAACATAGCTTTATTTTCAAGAATATATCCAGTCAAATAAAGATCCACTAAGGACTAATGAAATGCTGTAAAACAGAAACACTTTTAAGCCTACCTTTCAATAATACATTGTATTATTAAAATACTAGTTGTATGCAAATTCTGTTAAAATAATTTTAAGATTGCTAGAGAAAGAATATAACCAACAAGGGATTAATTTCCCTAAAATGCAAGAACAGCCACAAAGCAACAGGAAAAAGAAACAACCCAATAAAATAACAAAAGATATGAACTGGAAGTTAAAAAGAAATTGACCCATCCACAATCACAGTAAGAGCCTCTAAACACTCCTCACTTAGAAATCAACTTGAAAAAATTAGTACAGATAGAAGCAAATTGAATAATAACATTACCAAGTTTGATCTGACAAAGACGTATATGTACTGTACCCAACAAACTGGGAGTACACATTTGTTTCTAACACACATGAATCATTAACAAAATTCCACCTGGCATTATTCCCTAATTCTTTTGAGATTTTCTATATCAACAAATTCCAGATATCAGAAATCATGTAGTATACACTCAAAGAATAAAATTAAAAATCAACAAGAGTAGGATAACAACAATAACAAAATTCTGTATCTGGAAAATTTAAAATACACTTATAAATAACTTGTGGATTAATGAGGAAAGTATAAACTGTTTAGAAATGAATTGCAGTGAAAGTTCTACTTACCCAAACCTGTGGGATACCATGAAAACAATGCTCAGAGAAAAAATTTATACTCTTTATGCATTTATTGGCATACAGGAAAGATTGAAAATAGGCAGGGACTTCTCTGGCAGTCCAGTGGTTAAGACTTCACGCTCCCACTTCAGGGGGCACAGGTTCCATCCCTGGTTGGGAAACAAAGATCCCACATTCCGCATGGCATGGCCAAAAAAAAAAAAAAATGACATGAACACTATAAATATGGTATAATTTGGAGTCCCTTGGGAAGGGCCTCTTTCTCATACACTCCCAAATAATCTTCCCCCATCTATCCCAGTGCCCTGACAATCTGTCAGTATAGACTGATTCCTTTAAACTAATTAATTAAAATAAAAATTTTTTAAAAAAGAAAATGGGCAAACTTCCCTTTCAAATTGAGTCAATAAAAATAATACAGTAACTCCATATAAAGTATATGGAAGGAATGAATACAAATAAAAGATATTAATAAAATAGAAAACAGAAAAAAGAAAGTTGCTTAATAAAGCAAAAATATCAATCAAATCTGAAGGCAAGTATGGTTAAGAAAAAAAGGGAGAAGATATAAATATAAAAAAATTGGAACAAGAAATGGCACACAACTAAAGATATTGAAAAAATTAGAATACTATGTAAAGGTTTATACCAAAGTACTTGAAAGTCTCGAAGTAAATTGTTTGCTAGGAAAATATAATTGACCAAAGCTGACTCTAGAAAATAGAAAAGCTCCATGAACTCATGTTATGAAAATTATTATAAAGGCAGTGAAAAATATGCCCCTATAACACAGGACTGGGACCAGGCTATTTTACAGGAGAGTTCCACCAAATCTTCACCCAACAGATAAAGCCAACATGATGCAACCAACCTAAGAGCATGGACTTATGGAAAGCTGCATATCATAACCCTTCTAGTTACGCTGAAGGCCCGTGTCAACTGTGAACACAGAATCAAAGCCTACCCTGTATCCATATAGAAATTGGGATGCTATTTGAATCACTCATTCATGTATTTTCATGCCTAGTGCTTTTTAAAAAATTAATTAATTAATTATTTTGGCTGCATTGGGTCTTCATTGAGGTGCACGGGCTTCTCATTGCGGTGACCCCTCTTGTTGCAGAGCATGGGCTCTAGGTGCGCGGGCTGCAGTAGTTGTGGCTTGTGGGCTCTAGAGCACAGGCTCAGTAGTTGTGGCTTAGTTGCTCCACTGCATGTGGGATCTTCCTGGACCAGGGCTCAAACCCATGTCCCCTGCATTGGCAGGAGGATTCTTAACCACTGCACCACCAGGGAAGTCCTAGTGCTTTGTTCCTAAGTTTCCTTGTTAAGGTTATTTCTGGATACTTTTGTCCTATTATGAGGAAACTTTGTCAATGTGTCTGGGTTTTCTAGAAACCAAATTATTTTGCCGGTGATAATCCCCCCCCCCTTTTTTTTTTTTTGCGGTACATGGGCCTCTCACTGCTGTGGCCTCTCCCGTTGCGGAGCCTGTGCCCCAGACGCGCAGGCTCAGCGGCCATGGCTCATGGGCCCAGCCGCTCCGCGGCATGCGGGATCCTCCCAGACCGGGGCACGAACCCCTGTCGCCTGCATCGGCAGGCAGACTCTCAACCACTGCGCCACCAGGGAAGCCCAATTTTCCCCCTTTTTAAAGTATCCTTCCTTTATTTATCTTCTCATGTGGTAAAATTTCCAGAACACTTTTGAAAACCAGTGGGGTTAATGATGCCAACAATAATGGATGTGCTTGACTTGTTCTTGATTTTGATAAAAATGAATTGGGTGGCTTTTACCTTTTAAAACATGTCTGTGATCTTTTTTTACATAATTTGACTAAATCATCCAGGTAAATTTTGGTGTGTGGTGTAGTGGATTTATTCATGGAAAACAAACTTGTGCAATTTTATGTTAAATACAAAACAAAGAGGGCTCCACAATATCATAAAGCCATTGGAAACAAGTCCTACTTACTTCCATTCCCAGAAGTTTGAGAGCTTTAGGCTGCATAATGAAAGGGGAGAAAAAAATGCATGGAATCAGATAACTGATGTTATGATACTGGGGGTTGTATATTAGTAATATCTTCAGTAGCAATAATAATAGACTAAAAAGTACTTGGTATCGTTAACAATTAAGGACAAACCCAAGGAAAGGAAATGCTTTAATATGGAACCTCTGCTTCTGTCAGCCCAGATCAGGTGAGGAGAGAGATGTGCAGACATGGGACCCGCATCCCAGGTAGAACCAGAGAAGTTCACCCACAGAAGAGACACAGAGCTATGGAGCTCTGAGTGCGGGCGAGGCGAGGGCTTCATGGAAGATCTCACACGTGAATTGGGCTTGCGGTACACGTGGGGTTTTGATGGGGGAAGATGCCGCAGACACAGTGGTAGAGTTTGATTCTGGCAGTGGTACATGGTCGCCCACAACAGGGTGGGGACGGCTGGGGAGAGTCTTAGATGCTGTGATCATGAGCTTGACAGTGCTTCGTCAGGCGCTGGGGATCCTCGGGAATTTTTGAGCAGGGAGTGCACTGTTGGGTCTCTCGTTTTGGAGAACTGGGGTGGGTCCAGCGGTAGGATGGATGGGAGAGGGCAGAGACAAGGGAGCCTGGGAAGAAGGCTATTGCGAACAAAGGACGGGGCAGGGGCAAGTGCTGGGCTGTGCGGCCCCACGAGCTGAGGGAGGAAGGTGCGTGGTGAAGCATGGGCGTCTGGAGGCATGCTGAGACTTCCCACCGAGAGCCACTGCGGGAGGATGGGCAGGTGTGCTGGGGGAATGGGGTGATGAGCTCGGCTTTGAAGCGGCTGAGTTATTAGAAAGGCTAGCAAGGAACCACATGTGATTCTGGGAACCACAGAACACCACGTGTTCGCTGAGTCCTACCCTCTTGGGTCCAAACAGGTTGTTGTAAAGGGTCCGGAAGCCCTTCCTTGTGTAGTTGCAGCGGTAGGCGCCCCCCATGAGGTACTCCAGCACGAGCCCAATGTCTATGAGGCTGATGTGGTAATCGGGTGGAAGGTTGCCCTGTAAGAAAAGAAGCTGTGTCTCAGGCCCTGCGAGAAGGGACCCGCAGCGTGGGCTTCGGCAACACCTCGGCATCATGGTCATTCCTGCCTACGACGTGAAAGTTAGTGGTACCAACGGGGCATTAAACAATCTTCAGTCTGTTTCCATAGGATTGTGGGAATATAAGGGGGTAAACCATGTTCCAGAAAATGGGTTAGACTTCCCAGTGAGAAGAATTAGAAGCCCATGAGGCTGGAGGGGAGAGGCCTGGGCTTGTCTGTGAGCTCAGACAGAATGGCCTGTAATGTGCATTTAAACATAAGGGAAAGAAAAGAATATATATATAAAGAATGTATATATGTAAAATTGAATCACTTTGCTGTACAGCAGAAATTACCCCAACATTATAAACTTGGCTTCCATAAAAAAGAATATTAAAAACGTATATAAATGTATAACTGAATCATGCTGTACAGCAGAAATTAACACATTGTAAATCAACTATGCTTTGATAAAAAAATATTGATTAAGGAAAAAATACATAAAGGAAAGATGGTGTAGCTGGTGCAAAGAGCAGATTCATTTTGTTGAGAAGGTGCTTTGACAGCTGCTTGCAGGGGAGAATCCAGTTTCGGGGGGCTGGCGTCCAGATTTTCTGCAGAAGGAGGGGATGAGCAGCATGGCAGGCAGGAGGACTCTGTGGAAGACAGTGGGTGGACAGAATATCCCTGGAGCCAGGAACTTTCTAGGGAAAGCTCCACATGGTGCCCTGTGACTTTCTGGGGGACCCCTCAGATTTCAGTAAGAACACAAACACTGCAAACTATCTGATGTGCCCGGGAGTCGGTGAAGGGGCAAAGTCCTGCAGCAGAACGGAAGAGGCTGTGTTGAGATACAGGTAGCGTGTGGGTGGAGGGGAGGAGGGCAGAGGGGCATCAATGCATCTGTAAGTCGGTCATTCACGCCTGAGGGCAGTTGGCTTATCCAGGAGACAGAGCTGACTGGTCCATTATAAGGATGTTTTGCTATATGCTGTTTCCTGCTTGGTTAATTTCCTATGGCTGAAATGATGGTAGAAACCTGGGGTCCGTCCCATGGAGGCTACACCTTCCAAATGTCCTCCCTGTACATGAGGACTGAATCCTTCACTCAGCCATTGCTGAGTTTGTTCAGCCCCTACCGTGATCCTTGACCAAGTCGGGGATTCCATATGAGGGGATAAGGAGATACAGCCCTGTCTTGGGGAGCTTGCTGTTTTGAGGAAAAAGGGCCAAGCCACCCGCAGTCCCGATGCAGCAGCATGTTCAGGCCCCCACTGTGCTAGGGTGGGCAGGTGGGAGGGTGAGAAAGGGCTTCCTGTGGAGGTAGGAGTGGGCAGAACAGGGGCTGTAGGGGCCAATGGGGGAGAGCACTGCAGATGTGAGATGGGCACGGCCCTGGGACAGAACACGTGTGGTGGGTATGTGATAGGCCCAGTGGGTGCAAGTTTCTTAGCAGGAGCTTGAATTTCATGAGACGTGGAGGCTTTTAAGTGGGGGCGGCCTGTGTCTGGGGAGGGTGGGAGGAGGATGATGGAAGCCACTTAGGAGAGACGTGGTTGGGTCTACACTTGAGTAGCTGTGGCTTTTGAATGTTAGTGCTTCTGAATCTAAGAAATCTGTGAAAGTGGGAAACAAGGGCACTCACTGGTCTCTCTTGGTTCCCAGATCCACTGATTCTGCTCTGATCCAATGAGTGTGCATAGTAAAAGCCAAATTCTCACATTAGCAGAATTAGATATTTGTATGAGGTCTGACCAGCCTATCTGGGACTCTGGCTGAAGGCCCTCTTCTCTCCTTTGCGTTATTTCCTTCTGCTCAGAACATGAGTACACGTCCCGCACTCTGCATGCCAGGGACTGCATTCTAGCCAAATGAATTGCTCTGTGTTAACCTGGTCTGACCCTCCAGCCTGTGGTGATAGGACCCAAGAAACACCAGGACAGAACAGGGAGTGGACGGGATCCTACAAGAAGGCAGACTCTAAGGCATTAGCAGCGCTGCGGTTGGGGGAAAGCATCTATCACTTACTAAGGAGGAAACAGAAAGAAACAAGAAGTGCTGCACAGGACACATAGAATGACATGAGGCCCATCCTGCTGGGACTTCTGGAAAGAGGCACCGTGAAGTGGTGAGGGGCAGATCTGAAACACGCGGAGCGTGGGGGCTCTGGGCAGCAGTGAGGAGCCCACCCCTTGGCTGGCGCTCCTGCCTTGGTGAGGGGCCAACCCACCGTCAAACAGTCATTCAGCACGAGCCCATTGTGTGTGGGATGAACATTTCATTTAAAGAAGATGACATTTTTTAAAAGGAAACTCCTTTCATGGAGAGAGGAATTCATGACTTCTTATGCCTCCAGTAAGATGACAACATATTTGGAAATTTTAAAAATTGCTTTAAAAAATGTCTCATTAAGACATAGACAGATCTACTAGAGAATGGACTTGAGGACACGGGGAGCGGGGAGGGTAAGCTGGGACAAAGTGAGAGAGTGGCATGGACATATATACACTACCAAATGTAAAGTAGATAGCTGGTGGGAAGCAGCCGCATAGCACAGGGAGATCAGCTCGGTGCTTTGTGACTGCCTAGAGGGGTGGGATAGGGAGGGAAGGAGATGCAAGAGGGAGGAGATATGGGAACATATGTATACGTATAGCTGATTCACTTTGTTATGAAGCAGAAACTAACACACCACTGTAAAGCAATTATACTCCAATAAAGACGTTAAAAAAAAAATGTCTCATTAAAAGACGTCAACAGGTAAAGGACTATGAAAGAGCAGACTGACCTTTTTTACATCCCTCACCAGCAAATGAAGTGTGTTTGGTGGACCCAGTCTCTGAAAGAGAAACATCCAGCCATATTAAATATGTTTTTCTGTTCAACTTTTGGAGTAAAATCCAACTCTACTTTATAGAATTAATGAAGTCCTGTGTCTTTTATAAGACAGGACTAGGACTGGTCATGGGTAAGAAGTATCCCACATGTTCAAAAATATGTTAAATACCTTTTATTGAATTATTTTAAAGAGCATCTTAGGATGTACTATATTTTCTTAACAGTTCATCAAGCTTTAGCAAGCAACCACCCAGGACCACTTGTGCTACTTAAAATTTTAGAATGGGGAAGGAAATGTACATTCTCAAAATTCACATGGTAATAATACAAGCCAAGAGGATTTCATCCAAACACTTTCATTCTAATATCAGGAGCTCCTTGCTGTGCAAACTCAGTTTTCCATTTTTCACTGAAGCCTCATAAAACGTGGGAGTCCCCAGGAACAAATGACTGCTCACCCCGGGATCTTTTCACTCTGCTAATGACTCCAGGGGCTGGATTCTTCCTTTGTATAAACTTGTCCTCAGGCACCACCCCTGAGTTAATGCTACAGACGGGGGTGCTGGCTAGCCTGATGGAGGTGGGTGAAGATGGGACCATCTGCCGAGCCCGTGTGTCAGGTGAGAGCAGTC